CAGCGTCGTCTCCGATGGTTCGTGCACGCAGCTCGACGCCCGGAGGAAGGGCTCATCCGCGATGTACTTCTCCCTCCTTCTCTTCCTGGCTGGCGAAAACGTGTCGGTAGGCAGCTGAGGACATTGGCTAGCACAATCAAGTATGACCTAGCAGTACTATCGGGTCCACAAGTGGTTGGGTTTTCGACGATGGAATCGCGATTGGCTCGCCATTTCGTGTGACCTGGCTCAGGATCGGCGAGCGTGGACAGCGATGATCCGTGATGCTGTACTTGCTCGGGAGGAAGCCGGTTCAACCTGACCAGGGTGAAAACCGATACAAGTCAAGTCAAGTCCTGATCACTACAATCTTAACCTGAACAAGTCTAGAGTCAATCGTTATCTTCCCCCTCCTATCCATATAAAGTACCTCTTAACATAACCCTCTACCTCAAGTGGCCTCTAGACCTTGTACACGGTGAACGTTACTGTAAAAAACAAAAGAAAAAACAAAAAAAACCTGATATATCAGGAAGAGGCATGGCACGTGGAACTAGAACAATCTACCCCGGTGGACGAAATGAAAGGGTTCGGTTCGAATTTTTTTTTTTTAATCAGCTGAAGAAGGCAGGAGCGTACAATGGCTGAAACGTCGTGAATATAACAACAAAGATGAGGACAACAGTTTGAATAATGTAAATAACTATTATACCTGTTTTTATTTTATTTTATTTTATTTATTTATTTATTTTTTGGCATAACACGCTCGTTATGGATTGGTTCTTGGAATCTCAAATAATTTCCATTCACGTACAGGAGGAAGACATTGGAGAAGTCAGGAGTAAGGAAGGGTTAATAAAATCTGTTCATTATTTGCGGTTAGCGACAATCGAATCAATGTTTCCACGAACGCATTTGTTTCCCTTCTTGGGTTACGTGTACGCCTTTTTGTCGGACATCGATCGTCGTTAATAAGGTGCGTGAGCAAAATTTAATAACTGGCACACAGTAAACAGATGAGGCCAAAAGGTATGAATATGTTCTGGCAAGCAGCAGAATTAATCAGCCGACTATCATATTTTATCCTGCTTCATATCGCGAATACAATCATGACAGGATCGATATAAATACAGCGTGCGATGGATAAATTATCGTCAGAATGACGCAAAAAAAAAAAAATGAAAATAGCACTGACATCTCATTTTAACAGATACATCTACCAAAAAACACACAAATTTTATCTTTGAATACTCAAGAGGAAATTTATTCAATAAAATCGCCATTGGCTTCAAACCACAGCCTGCAGACGACATTGGAATCCTCCGGACAATCTCCTTGTTTAAGTTGTTGAATGCTGCCGTAATCCTTGCCTTCAGTTCATCTTTGGTGTTACATTAAATTTTGTTGGTATCTCGATCAACTGCGACCCACACATAATATTCAGTGGGGTGGTGGAGTCTGGGGAGTTAGGTCGCCAGATGTAAGGTGTGATGTGGTTGCAGAAATTGTCTGATAGCCGTGACTCGGTTCTTCTGCTTGTGTGGCATGTTGCAGAGTCCTGTTGCCAGACATAGAATCTTACAGCAGCCACCCTCTTGACCCAGGGCAGCAATACCTACTCAAACCACTTGATTGCTATCTAAATTACCCAAAAATGCTAGCTGTTCTAGTAGACAGGTATCCTTGAATACAAGCGTCTAGCTATACATACAAGTGTTTACCCACCATTCAACCAGTAGCCAAGCATTAGGTCATTTTTGTCTATCATTATTCAACCGGTGACTGGGAAATATGTCATTTTGTTGGAATTTAATTTGAGAACAATATTTTACAAGTTCACATTCTTGTTATTTTTTCTATCCTCGCTCCAACCTCTTTACTTTCAAAACTGGCTCCCAAAGCTTTGATTCTTATCAGAGATAAGAATATATTTTCTGACTAACGAGAGAGCCAGAAAATATAAAAAGGAATTCCACCACCATTATTCTTTCCATGGTGCCATAAAGTCTGGGGGAAACCTCACAGCTTGTTCACTCCTCCTGTCATACCCACTGGATGCCTGTTGTCGACCTACGAACTCACTCAAGTGGAAGATTCCGATATCTACCAACAGTTTTCCTACTCTACACTGTAAGTGTAAGCGTTCTGAAAGCAAAGGAAGTATTTGTCGCACTGACATCTCATTTTAACAGATACATCTACCAAAAACACACAAATATTATCTTTGAATACTCAAGAGGAAATTTATTCAATAAAATCGCCATTGGCTTCAACCACAGCCTGCAGACGACATTGAAATCCTCCAGACAATCTCCTTGTTTAAGTTGTTGAATGCTGCCATAATCCTTGCCTTCAGTTCATCTTTGGTGTTACAATAAATTTTGTTGGTATCTCGATCAACTGCGACCCACACATAATATTCAGTGGGGTGGTAGAGTCTGGGGAGTTAGGTCGCCAGATGTAAGGTGTGATGTGGTTGCAGAAATTGTCTGACAGCCGTGACCCGGTTCTTCTGCTTGTGTGGCATGGTGCAGAGTCCTGATGCCAGACATAGAATCTTCCAACAGTCACCCTCTTGACCCAGGGCAGCAATACCTACGCAAACCACTTGATTGTTATCTAAATGACGCAAAAAGTTTATCTTTACAAAAATGACACAAAAATATTTTGAAATACAAACGATTAAATTTATTCAATAAAATCGCCATTGTCTTCAACCATGGCCTCCACACGATTTTGGAATCTCCTGAATCTATTTTGAACGGTCTTCTTGTTTAAGCCACGGTGAATTCTGCCATAATCCTTGCCTTCAGTTTATCATTGGTGCTACAAGGAATTTTGTTAGTCGCTTGCTCAAATGTCGCTTGCTCAATACCCAGTGGGTATTGCAATGGGATCTCCTTTAGGCCCCATTTTTCTAATTATTATATGGCACATAATAATCAAGGCTGTTGCACTCTGGGGAGTTAGCTGGTCAGATGTAAGGGGTGATGTTGTCGCAGAAATTGTCTGACAGCCATGACTGGGTTCTCTTGCATGCGTGACATGGTGCAGAGTCCTGTTGCCAGATATAGTGTCTTCCAGCAGCCACCCTCAGGGCAGAAATACCTACTCAAGACACTTAATGCAGGCCTCCTGTGGGAAGTTGAATCGAGGCATAACGTCGCCGTCACTAGTGATCACTCCAAACACCTTCGTAA